GTGTGTTGAAGACAGTGAGATTGGCACAAGACAGAGCATGGTTTAGGGCTGTTGTAAATAGGGTCACTATGAGTTGCAGGCGACTTGACAACACATAACAATAACATGTTATGGAAAAAGTACGAACTTGTTTCCCTGATGCCAACAGTGCTAAAAATATGTCAGCATGTGTGCCCTGGGCCAGCTGGTGGAGGAGACAGAGCAAGTCCTGACGCAGGCGGGGTGGTGCCGGTCCACACCTGTGTGTGTGATGCTGATAAATGGTTATAGCCTCCACGTAGGGTTAGATTGCTGGGTATCCACTTGCTGAAAGAAAAGAGTTCCAATATGTGTGAGTGGTGTAATGAATAGTTTTCCATTTCTTTTTCTCTGAAACAGCATGTCCTAGTGCACACTGAGTCAGGGGGCTGGTGGTTCAGTGGTTACAGCATTTGTCTGGTAACCAAAAGGTCAGGAGTTTGAACCTACCAGCCACTCCACAGGAGAAAGATGTACAGACAGATCCATAAGAATTACAGCCTCACAAAAGTTTTGAGAACGTTCTACTCTGTTCTAGAAAGTGACTGTGAGTTGGTCAACTTGAAGGCAAAGAATTAAGACAAATTGAGAAATTCTTGAGTTCAGCTTGCTATCCAAAAGGTTGGAGGTTCAAATCCACTCAGAAGTACCTTATTAAAAAAAAAAAAAGACCTAGCAATCCACTTCTGAGAAATCAGCCATAGAAACTGTAAGGATCAGAGTTCTGTTCTCATACACAGTCACCCTGAATAGACTTTGACTCACGGACAGTTGGTTACTGGCTTTATTTTATAGACTGGACAGCCTCCAGTCCCAGCTGAGTCTCACGTGCTAGGTCTGATACTCCTTCATTTTCAAGTATTTTTTATATTCATCTCAGTGTGGACCAGGCACAGGAGTTCATGCGTACATACAGGCCATCCTCTCTGAAATCAGCACGTCCAGCAGGGGTCAAGTTTACATGGCCAGCGGCATATTTGCAGACACAACTCATCCATTTCTCCAGGTGAGTCACACTACGATGCTTCCACAGGTAAAGTTGGTGGAGGCTCTTCCTGTCTTTATGTCACCTGTGCCTGCATTGAGCTAGCAAAACTGGAGAGGAGTATAAAACACTTATAAAATGCCCACTCACACGTCAGATATGTTATACAGAGAATATAAAAATAGATTGTTTGTTGTTGTTATTATGTGCTGTCAAATTGCCTGTGACTCATAGTGAACCTATGTTCAACAGCTCTGAACCCTGCTCTATCCTGAACCAACCGTATTGCCTCTGATACACCTACTCCCAGAACCCAGTCACTGTATCAATCTATCTCTTCAAGGGTCTCCCTCTCCTGCGCTGTCCCTCCCCCCTCCCAAGCCTGATGTCCCTCTCCAAGGACTGGTCCCTCCTTGCAACATGCCCATAGAAGCAGCCTCATCTCATCCTCTCCTGGACGAAATTTACAAAGGAGTTTATAAATTCTGATTTCTTGATGCTAGTTTTAATTTTTCTGGTGCAAGTTCAGTTATGTTTTAGAAGCATAAAAACATGAATTTTATGTATTTCGTGGTTGAGAAAACCACTGGCAATATTTGACATCAGGATTTGATGTCTAGGAACTTTAGTTCATTGTTAGGTGCTATTTCGAGGGCTCACAGAGACCCTGTGAACACGGGATCAGAACTTTGCCTAGCCTCACAATCTTCACCACATTCACGTCTATGCTGTAGTCACTATGTCAATCAACTTGGTTGAGAGTTTTCCTCTCTTTCACTTAACTTCTACTTTTCCAAGCATGATGTCTTTTTCCAAGAACTGGTGCCTCTCGACAGCATGCCCAGAGTCTGTGTGGTGATTTAGGATACTAACCACTATCCTACTTTTTTCCGTTATACACAGTATAATCTCTGATGCTGAAAGAGAGAGAAACGCCCTTGTCATTAAAATAGCATTTGTTCATAATTTTTAAATTTTGCTTAAATATTTCCCTCAAACATGAAAAAGATACCATACATAGTTTTACTATTTTTCCCTAATTCTTCATAACATTGTTTTGTATATTTCTCCTTTCATTTACTTCTAATTCCTCCCATAAAGGTCTAAGTGTGTGTTATGGTAATAATTTGTTAACATTTCTTCATTTCTTATTTTTAGAAATATTTAAACTGTCTTGAACAATTATACAAAGTAAAACCTGAAAATTTGGATTTCAAAAATAGTATAGATGAAGCCAGACTGCACACTAACTCATGGGTCCAAAACAAGACCAACGGTGAGACTCCCAAACTAACCAACGAGCTTATACTTCCATTTCCTTCTCTCCTCCTTGCTTCCTACACCCCCTCCCCATCCTCTCTTCTTTCTTTCCTTACCATGAAACATCACATTCGTGATTAAAGTACTGTAGTTGTTTGCCATCGAGTCTGAACTGACCCGTAGATGACCCTCCAGCAGGTTTTAAAAGGCAGTAAATCACATGGAAGGAGACTTCTCAACCTTCTGCTGATTAGCTGGTGGATTCAAACCATATGCCTTCAGGTTAACAGAGCAGTTCCTTACCACTAGGCAACCGAGCTCTGATAAATGCACTAGTATCCAGATATTTCTTAGCTGTGTAAACCAATCAAGCTACTTAAATTAACTAGTTTACTTCATTTCAACAAGATGTTTATCTCATAAGATATCCTTGCCTTTTCCACGTCTATACACCAGTCACAGCAAGTGCTGTGACCTCTCTGGAGGTTTGACTCCACCAGTGGCTCCTGGAGACAAAGCTAAGCCGTGTCCACCCATGAGATCTCCAGCTCTGGAGATCCAGGGAATGGTCAGTTGAGAGCTGGTCCCTACTAGATGATGATGAGTGAGTGTGTGATGGGCCTTATCAGCATCCATATATG